CATCCACCTGCATCTCACGGGACAGTCTGAGCCCTATTAGGAGTGCCTCGTATTCGGCTTCGTTATTGGTTGCATGGAACCCGAAGCGGAGGGAGCGCTCGAACGAACGCCCGTCGGGGGCCGAGAGCACTAGTCCCGCGCTGGCCCCACTCGAGGTGGACGAGCCATCCACATGCAGGATCCACGCTTCCCCGGGTTGGCCGGGAACCTGGTCTTCAGTCTGGACGAGTTCCGAGATGAAGTCGGCCACCGACTGTGCTTTGATGGCCGTCCTTAGTGCGTAATGTATGTCGAACTCTCTAAGCTCTACCGACCACTTGAGGAGCCGACCTGCAACGTCGAATTTAGATAAAACCTGTCTGAGTGGTTGGTCAGTGATTACCTCGACCGGGTGGGCTTGGAAGTAGGGACACAGTTTCTGGGCCGCAAGTACGAGCGCCAAAGCAAGCTTCTCAATTGGTGGATATCGCTCCTCGGGCCCATTCAGGACATGGCTGATGTAGTAGACTGGTAATTGTTCACCGGAGGTTTTCTTTGATCAGGACGGAGCTGACCGCGTGCCGGGAGGCAGCCAAGTAGATGCTGAGTTTTTCCCCCAAAAAGACTGAGGCAAGGCGGGGGAGGTTAGCCAAGTGTTGTTTGACTTGTCCGAAAGCTTCCTCACACTGCGCCGTCCATTGGAAGTCCTTCGGATTCTTTAGCGCCCGGAAGAAGGGGAGGCAGCGATCGCCCGATCGGGATAGAAACCGAGACAAGACAGCAAGCCTTCCGTTCAGTCGCTCTAGGTCCTTGATTGTCCGAGGGGCTTGCATATCGATAATCGCTTAGACCTTTTCTGGATTGACGTCGATTCCTCTTTCGTGTACGATAAACCCGAGGAACTTTCCCGAGTTGACACCGAAAACACACTTTGCCGGGTTGAGTCGCAGACCATAACTTCGCAGTGTGACAAATGTTTCGGTCAAGTCGGTCAGGTGGTCTGCCGCCCCATGGCTTTTCACGATCATGTCGTCAACGTAGACCTCGACGTTCCACCCTATCTGTTGGGCAAACATCTTGTTTACAGCTCTCTGATAGGTTGCGCCCGCGTTCTTTAACCTGAACGACATTACTTTGTAGAAATATACTCCTAGATCAGCGAGGAAAGCCATGTGTTCCTGGTCCTAGGGCGCCATTTGGATCTGGTTATAGCTGGAGAAGGCATCCATGAACGAAAGGCGGGCATGCCCGACAGTTGCGTCGACCAGCTGGTCGATCCTCGGGAGTGAATAGCAATCCTTTGGGCATGCACGATTGAGACTGGTGTAGTCAACACACATCCTCCAGCTCCCATTATGTTTCTTCACCAGAACTACATTAGACAGCTATCGTGGGTACTTGACTTCCTCTATGAAGCTAGCTGCCAAGAGTCGCTCCACCTCTTCGTGGACGGCCTGTTGTCTGTCTGGGGCCTGGCGTTGTGGTTTCTGCTTCACCGGCCGAGCATCGGGTGATATGTTGAGGTGATGTTGGGCGATCTTTGGATCAACACCCGTCATATCAGATGGCGACCAAGCGAAGACGTCGGCGTTCTCTTGTAGGAAGCCAACGAGCTGTTCCCGCTCCTGCTCGGGTAGTTCCGACCCGACCTTGATCATCCGGTCCGGGTGATCCTTCATCAACGGCACGTCACAGGTGGGGGCCGTCGGCTCAGGATGCGGGTTCGGCCGCTTCTTTTCCCTTGGATCCTCTAGGGGTCGGTCGGTCTTCGCCCTTTTGCGTAGTGAAACTACCGTCAGGTAGCACTGTCTGGACTCCCGAGGGCTCCCCCAAACCTCCCCAGTTCCCGCGTGGGTTGCGAACTTCACCGTCTGGTGGTAGGTGGAGACTACGACCCTGATTTTGTTGAGGGTGGGGTGACCGAGGATGGCATTGTATGCTGTAGGGAGATCCACTACTAGGAAGGTGAACATCACCGTCTTTGTTCTGGGTGGTGCTCCTAGAGTTAGGGGCAAAGTGATGGTTCCCAACGGTGAGATCGAGTCGCCAGTGAACCCAGTGAGCGCCAAGCTGATAGGTTCCAAGGCCTCTTTGGCTAGCCCCAGTTTCTGGAAAGCATCAAGATATAGCACGTCAGCCGAGCTTCCCATGTCGATCATGATTCTCCTCACCTGGGCGTTGGCGATTCGAGTCATTATCACGAGCACGTCATCGTGCTCCGGTCGCTCAGCGCCCTCGGGGGGGAACGCAACCTGAGGGTCGGGGCCGCGTCGGGGAGCGTCGTCCCTAGCTGAGCGGGCATATGCCTTCCTTCCGGACATGCTGATCCCACCGGACGTTGGGCCGCCCGTGATGACATCGATGTGGCACTCAACGGGACCCTCCGTATGGGGTGATGATTCCCTACTCTGTTGGACATACCGACTGAGGTGTCCTCTGCGGACGAGCTCCTCAATCTGCCGCTTCAGCTCATGGCATTCTTCAGTATCGTGTCCGCTTTGCCGATGGAAGCGACAATACTTGGACAGGTCAGCTAATTCCCGCGGGCTCTTCATCGGGACAGGGGCCTTGAGCAGCCATTTTTCCCTTATTTAGAGAAATATCTCCGTTTGGGACGCACCCAATGAGGGTACGGGAGACCTTAGCGCGGGAGGGTCAAGTCGGTCTAGCCTGCGCCTTGGCATGGGAGGCTGTTGTCCCCGAGTCGGCTCTGGCCTTCCCCTCTTGTGCTCTTCCCGCTTCCCGGCCATCCAGGTCTCGGCCGCGACGAACTGGTTCACGCGTTGGAGCATCTCAGGCACCGTGGTGGGGGGTCGCTCCATGAGGGACCATAAGAACCTGGAAGGACGCAAGCCTATCATAAACGCCTGCATCAATAGAGAAGGGTGAGCGTCCGGCAGTCCCCGGATCTGCGCTGCAAAACGATTTACAAAATGGGAGAGGGGCTCGTCCTCCCTCTGGTTGAGTCCGAGGAGAAGCGCCACGGAAGGCTTCGGTCGTGCATAGGCCACGAAGTGGAGCTCGAAGTCCTTAACGAGTTGGTCGAAGGAAGCAATCGCTCCGATTTTCAAGCCGCTGTACCACGCGCAAGTCGAGCCTCTCAGAGTGGTGGGAAACGCTCTGCACATCAGAGCGTCAAAGGTCCCGTATAGCGCCATCTGGGCATGAAAAGTGGCTACATGGTCCGCTGGGTTAGTGGAACCGTCGTAAGCATCCAGGGAGGGGAGTCGGAAGTTCTGGGGGATTGTATGGTCCTGTATCTCAGGCGTAAACGGGGATCCCTGGTGTGCGTCCTCCCCAAACTCTCCCCTTGACCTGCGGACCTCCTTCTGCACATCGCCGAGTCGCTGATTGACGAAGTGTAACTGGGCTCGCAGGGAATCCATAGAATCCGAAGATAATGCCTCGGGTTCCGGGTGGCCTCTTGGGTTGGCCGTCACCCGACCCCCGGGTGGGGGTGACGGGACCTGAGGCGAAGCGGGGAGCTCCTGAGGCGATGTGGGAGCCTGAATGGGTGGCTCTTGTTGCCGCAGTGGTTGGACGACCGGGGAGCGCAGTGGACGAGAAACAAGGGGAATAATGGATTGCACCATACCGGTCAGAGTTCGGACTTAATGGGTGAGGTCATGGAAGGCCTCAGATGACACGGGCGATGGGTCGGCGGGGGCGCCGTCGGGCGGCGACAGGCCCGGATCGTTGAATATCCGCCAATAGCGCTCTGAGGTTGTGGCGGGGTGCTCGTCACGAGGTTCTCCCTGCGGGGGGGGGGGTGTTCCCTCGGAGCTCCGATCGGGTGTGAGCCCCCAGCTGCGGGTTCGTCTGAGCCGATCCGATGATCCCTCGACATTCGACCCTCCTTCTAGCGTAAAAAATGTTAGTGTAAACAACTTTAAGCCGTGGCCTCGGGGCCAACGCGGCTTGGTTCGGGTCTGGATGATGGGGGATCTCCCTGAGACGTTTCTCGAGACTACTGAGGTGGCCGATTGCGTTGGTCCGATCGGGATGTGGTCGTCGTTTCCTCCGGGAAGGGACTCCTTACCTGGGTGTTTAGTGGGAGACCTCCGTCTTCGCACCTGCACAAAGGTCGGGTCGAGGAGCTCGGCCCGACCCCTCCGACGATTAAGTTAGTGGATGGTCAAAGGGGGTTTCTTTAGCTCTCCTCCTCCTCTGCTCCTTCATAGCATGAGGGTTTTTATATTAAGAATTACCGTTGCATGATGTGCCTGCCCGTAGGAAGCAGGATCGTACTTCTGGTAGCGTCTGACGTTGCCGTTGGCGTGGCGTGAGGGATCGAGCCTGAGCAGGGTGTTATTGTGCATTGGTAGGTGTTCCAGTTTGCTTTGATCGGGTGTCTCATCGGGTCAATAGAGGCGTGAGGCATCATCTGCGGCAGGTGATGTCACGCGAGTCTTATCGCAGTTATTACCCTCATCAACTCCCACGTAAGAAACATGTCATGATCCTTCTAGTGGGTCTACCCAATGGATTTCCAAACCATATAATATAATTCCTTTGGAAGATACAAGAAATATTTTACCTAATCCTGTTTTGACACATGCTAATATCACAAAAGATGGCCTCAGTTCATAATTGAGCCGGGTAGATATCGATCCGATATAATACATTAAAAAAATATTTTATCCATATCGTATAATCATTAAAATTTATCAAGTCATAATAATTAAAATCAATAATTCTTTTTTAAGATTTTTTTTTGTTTTGGGATTGACTAAGCATTAAAGGGTTTATGAACTAGAATTAATTTTTTTTTGAACTTTGAGGATAACTTTAGCGTCACAATAAGACTGATCGTTTATAATTTAAATGCACACCAAAGGAAGCTTTGTGTTAAAATTATTTTTAATTATATAAAAACTTATATTCAATAAAAAATAATTTTTTCGAATTTAATTTTTGGGAAAAAATAAATTTTAAATATAATATTATCGTCTCTATTTGATATGCGTAGAAAATTTCTTTTTTCTTCCAGAACATTCGCCACCACTCTACCACGTCATCCTTCCTGCCCCGTCACTCTTCTACGCGAAACGTTCGTGATGCGCTTTACCCCAAGAGAAAGGGGCCGAACGTTTCTTCTCCGGATTCCCCAAACCCTAACGATCGACCGCAGAGAGCAATTCCACAGTACCCGTTCCCGACTCCTCCTCCGCCGCCGCCGCCATGAACGCCTTCCGATTAGCTGGCGACATGTCGCACCTCGTCAGCGTCCTCGTCCTCCTCCTGAAGATCTACGCCACCAAATCTTGCTCAGGTTCTCCCCTCCCCGGAACCCCGCCCCTCCCCCGAATCACCGCCGGTCCCTTGTGGAATCTCAATTTCTGGGCGTTTCGTGGTGCCAGGGATCTCGCTCAAGACGCAGGAGCTGTACGCCCTGGTGTTCCTGACCCGCTACCTAGATCTCTTCATCTACGTCGTCTCAGTGTACAACACCTTGATGAAGATCGTGTTCATCGCCAGCTCTCTCGCCATTGTTTGGTACATGAGGTCTCACCCCTTGGTGCGGCGGACGTACGATAAGGATCAGGATACGTTTCGGCATTATACCCTCATCGGTGGAAGCCTTCTTCTCGCGCTCTTTTTCCATGACAAGTTTACGATCCGCGAGGTATTGTTAGGCGATCATTAATTCGATTTAACTCGCCTCATACTATTGTTTCCATTCGGTCAAATGGCTACATCTTTTTCTGAAATCGTCGCATTTTTATATTAATTAAATAGGAATAATTGGAACTGCCTTTGACAGTTTGCGAATGCCAATTTCTTTATTGTTACTTGTCAACATACTTTTCCCGTTTAGTTTTCTGTAGCTGTATCTTGATGCAATACAATATGAGTGTCAACAATATCCACTAATGTTCTGTGTAAACTGCTGAACCTGTTTGATTGTGGAAATTCGTGGATGCCTACCAAGTGGGGAATATTATGATTTTGTTATTTTAAAAGGGCCTTTTGAGTATTTGGAAATGCAATTTTTATTCCAGCAAAGGAATGATAAGTCAACTTAGTTGCATGTTAAGCTTTAGACATTCCGCGCCGGCACAAGAGCAATATTTTCAATTATGCACATATTTGGATGCTCTACTCGCAGGTCAGTAATCTGCACTTAAGATATAGACAAGAAACATCAGCGAGAGTACATCAAATCTCTACTAAATGATAGGATAAGTTATTGATCATGATCTGATGGTGAATTTTAAAATTGCTGATTCATCTCCTGTTATTCAGTTCCTTTGGTCTTGGCATTTCATTCATTTTCTTGCTATGTTTAACACATTTAAAGCTCGTTTATTATTCTCATTGGCTGTTTTATCCGAATTAATTACAATGTTTTTAGGGAAAGAAAATGCTCAAAGCTTTCATGTTTTTATACTTCTAATTTATATATTACTTTTATAGTGTTTTTTTTCTCATATTTTCTACTTTAGAACCATGACTATTCTCCAATGTGTTCACTTGAATGTTCTTTTATAACAGAATCATGACACAGCAGTCATGACCAAAAGATAATAATGTTTGGTCCACAATCTTTATAATGGAAATCTTGAAATGGTATTCTTGGATATGGTAATTATATGACCTCAGAGTTGCAGATGGACTCAACAGTTTCATCTGCAACAGACATTGCATTCTCTATCTTGCCTTCTCTACTTCATTGTCAAATTTCGATGACACAAATTACTCTTGCATTGTGCTGTAGTTTATGGGATATGGTAGTGCATGGATCTGGTTGTTTTTGAGCATCTGGATCTGCCCACCCTCCTTAAACCAGGTTCAAGTAACTTTTAATTGATTTTGTGATGGATACGCAAAGGGAGGTGCATCCAAATTGGATCCAGATAACTATATATATATAGTAGGATATGGGTTCAGGTCCCCTACCAAATGACTTTCCTTATATAGGTAGTAATGACATCAGGATAGATATGTATTGAGGTCTACCTTACTTATTGGATTCAGGTATCCTTTAATGGGTTTTTTTGGGAAAAACAGGTGTCAGAGGGGTAGATATAGAACCCATTTTTTCATATGGTAACATATTCTCACATATAGCATCACAGTGAGAGGCTGGAAGCTACAATTTTGTCAACTATTTAGTCATAATATGCAAAAAAGAAATCTTTCTGGGGCCTGATACATATAAAGGATTTGCCAGAAATGAATCCACTGAAAAATGTTTAAAGCGTCCCTAAAAATGAAATTAGAAAATTTGGATCATATTTTAGTTCTATTTCATTTTGTGCAAATTTTTTTTCTGAACTTGAGGAACTCAAGCATGTAATTCATGCTTATCAAGCCATACATTTTGAGTATCAGGTTAGTTTGTGTTATGCTTAATTATGTACTAAATGAGATTTGCTTATATGAGGTGACGGTAAGTGTGAAAATAAGTCACATTGGTGTATTTGAAATTCTGCATTTGATATGATGCTGGTTTTGTAGAGAATAATATATGGGCATACTTTTTTTAGCAAAGGGTAAATGGCAAAAGTGGGATTTGAACCCAAGACCTTGCATTAAACTGTCAAAGTCTTCACCAACTAGGTTAGCCGACATCTTCTATATGGGCATACTTGCTTATTAATGTAATGAGCTAGGTCTTTAATACTGTAACCCATTTGGATAATTCCATCCAGGACATCTAGGTTCCTTGTACCTCATTTTATCTACCAGTTCATCATCTTTGGATAATTTACATATAAGGTGAAATATTGTTGAATCATGATGGACAATCAATTGCCATAATCATAAAATCTCAATTTGAATCTTGGTGGTCAGTTTTATTGATCTTAACTAATATTTAAACAATTGCAGTTTTAGCCCATACAATTTGCAGTTTGCGCTTATAATAAGAAGAAAGGAATTGATATACTATACTGACCTCTCATTAATGAATTGATAGATTATACTGAATTCTCATTATAGAACTTACTATTATTGGTGGCCTCATTGTTACAAAAGCTAACTATGATGATAGATCTATCTTGATATTCAGTTGTGGTTGTTGGGTTGATTATGACTGGAAACACTAGTCAAGTTGTTGTAGAAGCACATGGAATGGTGGAAGAGAAGGAAAAGGCTGGGAAGATTAGAAACTAGGTAGAAAAATAGAAAAAAATCTCAATAAGAGGGAATTTAGAGGCTTGAAGCGTTCTCAATTTCAAACCTAAATTGTATTATGATGCAATTCATGCAACCAATAGTCTAATTTTTATAATCCTGTGACCTGCCAATAGTTGACTTGTGCTAGCTTGCCCCAGTTCCTTGAAGAATAGTCAACATTGATGACCACTTCTCCACGTATTCTAGCTGCCTTCTCACCTAGGACAGTGAGTATGTTCAGGAGTTAGGATTCTTGATGGTCCAAAACAGCTGTATAGGAATTAAAAGACCAACTTACCACTTACTCTTTCACAGCTTTCAAATTTTATCCAACCATTTGAAAAGGATCCAAATTTTTGTTCTTACACTTCACGCACAGAAATTGGAAAAGGGAAAATGTTCTCCTTTTCATTACTTATAATCCAAACAGTTTCTGTTTTAAATTAACTTTGTGCTATGTTTCTTAGTTGGACATATTTTTCTTTAACTTACATCATCGGTGGTCCATTTGCAGGTATTATGGGCATTTTCGATATTTTTAGAAGCAGTTGCAATTCTTCCTCAATTGATTTTGCTTCAGAGAAGCAGAAATGTGGACAACCTGACCAGCCAATATGTCCTCTTCCTTGGGTATTAGAGCTAATATGCTTACCTTGATTTATGCTTGAATAAGTTCTTGTCTTTTCCGTCTTTCTTCATAGCAGAAAATAGGTTATGTATAACTTGACAGCTTTGAACTCTCATGAACAAGAGAATATGCATAAGTTTCTATTGACTTTTTGGTGTATGAAGTGCTTCCTCTGAGATTTGTGGAGAGTTTTAGTGCATTCTTTTGTTTTGAAAATTCATATTAGATCCGAGTCTTTAGCTTTTGGTGATCAAAGAAAGCATCAGTCAGAAGCGGCCGGAATGATATTCATTTTTAACATTCTTTAGGTCTACATTTTTACGGCCTAATTTATTTTATCATTTTGTGATATGCTTGAAATAAGTTCTAGACTTGGATGACTTTGAAATCTTGACTTTGTTCTTCTTTGTTCAGTAGTTTGTGAAGAACTTACCTATGATTGATATCATGTACAACTTGTTAGGTGTGTGCATATGTGGCAGATGCTTTTGCACTTTGTCTTTTATAAATTCAAGAAATTTACTATTGACTGTGAAGTGCAAATGTCTGATTGTGCTTCTAAATTATTTACACTGATCCAAACGTCAACAATGTGGGACCTAAGTCATATAACATATGCATGTCTGTGTGTGTCTGCCCCGTATTAATCTCATTGTTAATGTTCCCTTCTTCCAAATTTTTTGCAAAATGATTCTCAATCTTTTATTCCTTATCTTCCGCTAGTCAAGTGTCTCCAAAAAATTACATTATAAGAAGTTGAATTATATAATTACAGCTTACTTCTATTGAGGTACATATGAAGGTATAGACATATTATAATATTGATCTGTTTACTAATGATTTTTCACGGAAAGTACTCTCTGCATGCACACCTGGTCTTGGATTGTTAGTTATAAGATTTGATCGGGGATCAACCAAGTTAGTGAGACAAATACTTGTTTGACTGTCAGGTACCCGCGTAAAGTGTGCCTTCTATGAGGTAATTCATTTTCGGTGTCCGAATTGATGCGGATACCTTTAATTGCTAAGCAACTTAGGCATCTATTCTTAAGCTTCCTTTTATGACCTTAGGTACCGATTATGTCAAACGCATCTTATTAAGATAATGGCAACAACTGCAGTCTACAGAGAAGTGGCACATATTATAGCTCACATCATCAAAATGTCTCCATTGTACGATTTGAATTTACTTGATCAGGAGTTCTTGTTATTTTTAATGAACCATCTTGATGGCTGTAACTTGTATTCTGCTAATTCATTTCTTCTCTATTTTTTAGCGTTAATAAGACATTCTAGGGCATGGACTCCATACATTAGCCTTAGTGTCATTTTTGACGTGTGTTCTCAAGTAATTCCAACCCATACATGATTTAATCTCTTTTCTTCAAGTGACCTTCGGAAACTGGCAGAGAAGGATTATATGTATGCAAAATATTTGGGTCAATGCTGGTTAGTTGTGGTTATTTTGTATACAAACTCAATTTCTCAATATAATTTATGTATTTTTTCTAATACATGATCCTCTAGGGCCTTCTGGCCATTGATTTTGTTGGACCATCTTAATAACCAATTTGCATGAAGTTAATTCCAGGCCATGGCAATCTTGAAGATATGTTTTTCTGTCTTCGTGTACCACTGGAAAATAAGCAACTTCAACACATCATGTTAGCAATTTTTATCTGTATCTATCCTCCATTGTTTGCTATGCCCTAGTTCAACCTATTAGGTATTCCTGACAAGATTTAGAATGAAGTTATGTTCTTGTTCCTCAGGGCTTATCGTGCATTTTACATTCTCAACTGGATTTATCGCTTTGTCACAGAAGACCATTACAGCGCATGGATATGTAAGATAGTTTTGTATATCCTCTGCATAAGCAGAATTTTCATTTTCTCTAAACCATTGCTTTCTTGCAGCCTGGATCGCCGGTGTTGTTCAAACAGCCCTTTATGCTGATTTCTTTTACTACTACTTCATCAGGTAGGAAGCCAACCGAATGCCAATAACTAAGTACCATATACACCACAAAATTGATGCAAACAGTTACTTATTTTGATGGTGTTGGATTTGCAGCTGGAAAAACAATGCAAAGCTTCAACTCCCGGCTTGAATTAAATGTGAAAGCCAAGCGGCTGCAAGACGGTAAATATCTGAGATGGGAGGACTAGTAGGTACTTTGAGCTGGAAGATCTGTTGTCATCAGATGGCAACAAATTTTGGGCCATGATCCATTACCATACGCTATGCTGATGGTGTTAGAGATTTCAGGAGTCTGGGTTGTCACATTGTTCGTTCGTTTGTTGTTTGCAGCATGTCATTCCAAAATCTAACATATCACATTGTGACTGGAAACTTGAGCAATCTCTGTGCCTCATTCAATCACATTTATGTTGAGAACATGGGGTGTAATCACGAGTGTTATCACAGCATCTGATAACAAATTGACATTTCCTGAACATTTATAGTTCCTTCTAATGACACCGAGGAAAATCCATACAGTGAGTATATTTTCGTTATCGTCCCGGTGGTTTCTGAATGTGTCCCGGAAAATCCATACAGTGAGTATATTCACTCACTGATCAGAGAATAAATTATTCGACTCCGATGCACAGGCATGCTGGTCGCCAAGATCTGAATGTTTCACCGAGCCATTCAAGTCTGAAAGACTAAATCAAAGTGGCAATATTGCTACGTTTATTTCTAGTCTTGCACTCTGCTCTTTTCTTGTTCAAATTGGCTGACAAGAAGCGTCTTCTAAACTTGTCCTTAAAAGAAGCAACGAAAAGCACATTAACAACCATTGCAACCGTCCTCCGAGAGCAGCTGAACTCGATCCTTCTCATGCATTCTCATATATTTCTCTTTGTTTAAACAAGTCTGTATAAATACTGTATAAACCGTCCTCTTCAAGAAATACTGCGGCCTTCCCTTCAAAGATAATAACAGGAACCACCTTCTTCATCTGTCTCTAATTCTAGAACAATCATCTTTGAGCCCTCCGCTTCGCAGTTATTCTCCCCTTTTGCTCTATCACTACTTGGCAAATGACCGTAAACTGACTTAGTTTCATAATGAATTTGTGCACAGTCAAGCGGACCACACACTGCATAAACATTAATCATGATTTCCGTGGCATTACCGGATAACAAAACAATACACGACCAATAGAATATAGAGTGTAAAACAATAAATGGATCGCATTGATAGAATGTTAATGAGTACATGCCACACAAAATTGGACAAGAAACCAATTTGAGAAGACAAATAATGTTGGTCTCTTGTAAAGACCCTAAACAAGAAAAGCAAAAGAAACTACCTAATCAAATTGAAACAAGCAGTTTCCTCCCTTGTAGAAAAAGAGTCTTCTAGACGCCACCACCTAGCAGATCTGATGATAGTCTTGCTGCCATAATACTGGCCAACATCAGTAATTAAGTGGAAAATTTGGGGCTCTACTGCTTTAATACAGAAGTCTAGACCGAATGCGATCACCGATAAGCTTCTCAGTTAGAAAGGACCTTTTTGTTTGGCTCAAAGACATACTTGATGATAGAATCTTTTATCGAGAGCAACTCTGGAAACTCTCTCTTCAACTTTGAAGCATCCATCTCATTGTTGCTTCGAGGTGCAACTATGACTTTGGCCTGTTCCTCCAATGTAAAGTTAGTCCATTTAAAGCTGGGGTCAATGTAGCTCTTGTACATCTCTAGGATCTCGTTGTGGCTCACCACGCCAGGATTGGTGAAGTTCCATATGCCCCTGCAGCTTCTTTTTGCCATCTCAATTGATATGGGCAGAAGTTCATCTAAAACTGTCATGCTATTTGGTATGTTCACGACTTTGTTGTAGCGACTGATTTTTGTGATGAAGTTGCGAGGATTGCTCAGATCAGAAGATATTGGCATTCTAACTCTAAGAGTGCAGACATTGTCAAATTCTTTGAGCAGCTCTTCAACCTGCATTATGGACCAAAGAAAAACTCATTCATTAGATTTTACACAACAGAAGATATGGTCTAAGCAAAATTTAGCAAGCCAGAAGTCACCATTGCTTTAGTCTTCGAATAGAAGGAACCGGTAAAGTTTGGTTTGTCTTCCTCCTTGTATCCGATGCCTGATCCTTCAGGGTGTCGAGCATCATACTCAAAAATACAACCAGTAGCATAATTCATCAGCAACAGGCCGTTCTCCCTACAAACATCTGCAAGAGTCAAAGTTCCCACGACATTTGTGCGAATCGTCTCCTGCTTGTGAGATTCACACCAGTCAACATTAGGCCTACCGGTGACACCAGCGGCATTAAAAACATGAGATGGCTTCACATTCTGAATATCCCGTATGAGTTGGGAACGTTCTTCCAAACGCCCTCTTCCATACTCATACGGTATATCCTGCTTCTCGCATAACTTGCCGAGAAGGCCCCCAATCCATCCAGTTCTACCATATATCAAGAACTTCAAATGTGGTTTCTTCAGGGAGGTCCTTATTGAAGGAACCACCATCCCGTTCTGATTACTAGTGCTCATTTCCTGATAAACCATGTCCTTGGTTTCTTCAGATCCATCGATATGCCTTTCGATACCGGGCATCATCAACATCCGTGGATGAGGTAACAGCGCACCTGAAACATCCCCCCACCAGTCGGGGTTGTTCATGTACCATTCCATCGTCTTCTTCAGTCCCTCCTCCCATATGGTCTTCTCTGACCATCCAAGGTTCTTAAGCTTCTGATCATCCAAGAAGTACCTCTGGTCATTGAAGGGCCTGTTCTCCACAAACTTGATGACGGTGTCCGTATCTAATGAGAAAAGCTTACAGATATCCACTGCCACATCAATCACCCTCCTTTCTTTCTTTGTCCCAATGTTATAAACATGCCCAACTTCTCCTTTGTGAAGGACAACCTCGTAAGCCTCTGCAACATCCTCGCAGTACAGATAGCTTCGAACATTAGAGCCATCACCATGAATCGGCAGAGGCTGCCCTCTCATAGCCAAAAGGATAAACTTTGGAATCAGCTTTTCCGGGAACTGGTTGGGGCCATACACGTTGTTTCCACGGGTTGTAATCACAGGCAAGCCATATGACCTTCCATAGGCCATAACAAGCATCTCAGCCCCAGCTTTGGTTGCAGAGTACGGGTTGGTCGGCAGCAGCTGAGACGCCTCATGGTTGCCCACCACGGCATCCTCATCGGTCTCCCCGTAGACCTCATCGGTGCTAACATGGATGAACCTTCTGACTTGACCAGTGACCTTGCAGGCCTCGAGGAGGACGTGAGTGCCATAGATGTTGTTCGTGGTGAACTCGAAGGAGTTGCCGAAAGAGTTGTCGACATGGGTCTGGGCGGCGAAATGCATGATGGTGTCGATGGACTCGGTGATCAGGAGGTAGTTGACGAGGTCGGCGCTGCCGATGTCGCCCTTCACGAACCTGAAGTTGGGGCAGGAACGCGAGGGGTTGAGGTTCTTCAGGTTGGAGCAGTAGTCAAGCTTGTCGAGGACCACGATCTTGTACTTGGGGTAGTTCCGGACGAGGCGGTTCGCGACATGGGAGGCGATGAAACCTGCCGCCCCGGTAATGAGGATGTTCTTGGGCTCGTATGTCGCCATCCACACAACAAACTCTGCTCAAAGAAGGCCGCATTTTGCAGATACAAGTCAGATCCAAGATCTCACAGAAGAGAAAGATTACACGTACAGTGAGATCACAAAAGCAGTCATTTTTATCCAATTCGGCGTTTCAGTTCAATCGCTCCTCTTCAAGATTGCGAAGAACAAGACACCGCCAACAACAGAGAACGAAAGGCACTCAATAGATCTCCAACGAAACTAACCAAGACGAGATTTTTAAGCTACAGCTCGACGGAACACGAAGGAAACCATCGGGAAAGTGCATGTCATTGATCGATCAGGCAATTCATCAAACAAAAAGCACTATAACCGAATCCGATCCGGATTCCTCGTTCTTCACGAAACCCACGAAACCAAACCGAGATCTGAGCAGAAAACAAAGCCTTATCCAGAAGAAGGGGGAAAAAACGCACCTTTGCAGAAGAACAGAGCGGAGAATTGGAAGCTTCCTTGCACGGACAAGAATATGAAGCTGAGAGAGACAGAGAGGAGGGAGAGGGAGAGAGAGAGAGAGAGAGGAAAGAGTGAGTTCTAATTAAGATAAAGAAAGATTATTTTCATCATTAAAAAGGGGAAGGGAGACTAATTAATGAGGGGTTAAGAAGTAACGGAGAGATTGGAGGAGGTGACGGAGGGACGGGAGAATCCAGCGATTTCGTGCGAGACACGCGTGACGTTGACCGCATGGTCCACGGAGTCTACGGCTCTCTTGTTGGGCCGCGGCCCGCTTTCCATGTTCCACAGGCACATTTAACCACTCATATATAACTATCCTTCACCCAAATAAAAGGCATATATATATATATATATATATATATATATATATATATATATATATATATATATATATATATATATATATATATAACATAAAATTTCGAAAAAAGACTTATTTTTTTAAAAAATTCCCTCTACTTTTAAAATTTTCAAAAGAATACTGATATTTTGAAAAGATCATTTTATTTATTCTTTCATCGAACCCGTTACAAACCATAACCCTCGCTCATGTGTCTACCATCAGTCCTAGCCCCTATTTATTTGTAACTCTCACATGAGGGCTTATCATCGATCATAACCCCTCTTAATTGCACAGGTCCACTCTTTTTGCTTGCAACCCTTATGTGAGGACTGATGACCTCGCTTCGTCATAGGCTGTTGGGTTCTGATAAAGGCAACAACAAAGACGATGGCTAATAGGCTGGGCCGGACGAATGTGAGACCAATGGGTCAATCGACAAAATGGGTAAAATGATTATTTAATTTTTTTTTTAATTTTTTTAAGTAAGGATCAGAAATTTTAAAAAATAATTTTTTTAAAAAAATTCATATATATATATATATATACATGTATATTATATATATATATATATACATGTATATATATACACATATATGTATATTATATATATTTTGTTGATATGTTGAACGACGCATATTAACTCTACTTTTTTCCTGTGATTAAAAGAGGACACACGATCGATTACAGCTCTCCACTATAGAAGCTTAAATATGTACTATACTGTGATCGTAAAGTTAAAAAGGAGAAAAAGGAAAGGAAAGAAAGGAAGATGATAGCCCTAGCCAACTTCTCTTCGATCACCATGAAAACTTCAGTTCCAAGAAGGGGAGAAGAATGAGAAGACGACATCGCAACTAAACGAAACAGAGGAAAGGCTCAGAAAGAACGTAGCGATTGCGTTGTAAAATCATAGGCCATATTGGCTCATTACCAGTCAAAGATCTTTTATCATGGCTTTTCTCATTCAAAGTCTTAAAGCAAACAATTACAAGTCAGGCGAGAGAGGATGAGGGGTAGAACACAGAGAGTGCATCGCTCTTAGGGGTGTAGTCTCCTGAGACAACCCCTCTATATAAACCAAGAGTAGAGAAACCCTAAATGTATCGTAATTAGGTTCTAAATGAACTTTATTAGACCTGACAACTAAAAATACCATGCAAACGCCCCCGTCACCCCTCCCCCCAAAAAAAAGCTATTGAAGAAGAAGATGAAAGAGCAACAAATCATGTGGAAAGGGAGAGATGTATAATCCTTTATCAAATAATAATAATAAGGGATTATTAATCTAAGATCAAATCAAATAAAAAATAATTAAACTTTTTAATAAAAAAATATATTAAACTTAAGAAAAAACTTACAGAGATTTTGAACTACCTTAGCCCTATAGGCTTGAATACTTTTGGACTTGAATGAATTTACAATATGCAGATGTCATTTATTTATAGGTGTGAAGTATAATTTAAATCAAAAATTTCTTGTTCCAATTAATTTATTTAATTAACTTATTTAAAAAAAATAAGATAATAATTTAAGATCTTCTAACAGATATACTTTAACTTTTAACACTCCCCCTTATAGTATATTTTTAGAGATAAGTCTCAGTTTATTTGAAAATCTTTAAATAATCTTTTGAAAAAAGATTTGATAAAGATATATGCGATATCATCTTTACTTTTGATCTTAATGATTCTTTGAAGCATTTTTTGAGATAAAATGATGTTCAATTTCAATATATTTGGTTCTTGCATAACAAATTAGATTTGTAGCCAATTTTAAGGTACTTATCATACTATAAAATAATTAGTTTATTAATTTAATAATAAATATCCTAGATTAAACAACTTAACCATATATATATTCCTGAGTTACAAATGAATAAAAATTTCTTATTTTTGTTAATTCTAAATCTTTTAATAATTTTTTTCATAGCTTGTTTGAGAGATAAATATATTTTTTTTATATTCATCACTTCCATTTTGTCATTATCGATGATGGTCATATCATCCACATATAGAAGAACAATAATATGCATGCTTCCTTATTTTTTAATAAATAAGCTAGGATCTAAATAAGAAGAAAAATAATTTAAAAATATAAATTGAGTATTTTTTTCATACATGGGAGCTTGCTTTATAACCCATAGAGGATTTTCTTAAGTTTGCAAACATAATTTGGTTTGAAAATAAAAGTATATCTTGATGGTTGTTCAATATAAATATTCTTATCAATTTCACCCTGTAGAAATACATTCTTCACATCAAGTTGTCAAAGCTTCCATCTAAAATTAAGTACTAGAGCAATCACCATCCTAGTAGAGTTCATCGCTCCAAGACTAAAGGTTTCCTCATAATATTTTTCATATTTTTGAGAAAATCCCTTAATAAGTCTTACCTTATATTGATATATATTTTTATCTGACTTACATTTCATCTTATAAACCCATTTGCAAATAATTAAATCTATATTTATTGGCTTTGACATAAGATCCTAAGTTTCATTTTTACAAAGAGTTATCATTTCTTTTTTCATGGCATCCTCCCACTTCTTAATACCTTTGACTTCATCAAAATAAGTAGGCATAAGATTATAAATTAGTTCATAAAAGAATAGTGACATATACCTACATTGTCTTTATCTTTAACGTGTTAGTTTAACAATTATTATTTTTTATATTCTCAATATTGAAATTTTCTTTTCATGAATATCATTACTCCATATATCACTTTGCTCTATCATCATTGGTGATGAAGAAGATAAGCTAAAATCCATAGGAGCATTAGATGATAAAGGAAACTCAACTATAGATTTTGAACATATACTACTTTCATTATTGTGATTGATATTTAAAAAAAAACTACTTATGGAAGATAATAAAAAAAATTCATCAAATATAACATCTCAAGATGTGTTTGTAGATCCATATATTTCTAACCTTTTTTCATTTTATCATAATCTTACTTCTCTTTTAAGTCTAGTATGTGAATATAGCACATAGAAATAAATACTTTGAAATATTTAACATTTGATTTTTTATTAAACATGACTCATATGGAGACTTCAAATTGATTGGACCAAGGGGAGTCGATCAATAACATAAGTTGCACATGTTATACCTTCTGTCTATAGGTCTTTAGGTAAAATTTTTGTATGAAACCAATATTTACAAGTCTCCACGAGATGTCAAATCTTCGGTTCTGTCACACCATTTTGTTGTAGTTTATTTACACATGTAATTTTCTTTTTGATATCATATTCTTAGCAAAATGAGAATAATCTATCAGAACTCATCATCATTATTAGTGTGTAACTTTTTAATTTCCTTTTAAGAACACTTTCAATTATTAACTTGAACTTTTAAAATTAAAAAAATTAAATTTTCTTTTATAAAGTAGATTAAAGTAAATCTTCTAAAATCATCAAGAAAGAGAATCATATAATGCGAACCTAAATAAGATAAAGTTTGAGTATGGTCCATTAGATCATTATAAATAAGCTCTAAAAAAATTTACACTTTAAAAGTGATCTATCAAAAGGTTACCCGTGTACTTTACCGTATTGACAACCTAAACAAACGTCATTACTATGAAAAATAGTAAGATTATGAAGACCACTAATTAGACTTTTTTATATTATAATTTTTAATTTAAAAAAATTTATATGACCAAGTCTAGCATGTCAGATTGATGCATTACTCATCCTATCAATATAAGAGGTTGATGTTGACAGAATATATAAATCTTAAACCATTCTACTTATATGTACTATATATGCATTTAATTTTTTTATGTTGTGAAGAAACTTGACTTTATTAGGACTCAAAAAATAAAAAATCTAGCATCAACAGCATTTGCAATAAAGAAGAGATTTTGCTCCATACTTGGAATATGATACACATTCTTCAATATAATAGGATTATTATCTTTATATGAGATTACGATGGTACCTTCCTTCTCTACTTATGAATAATGTTGTCTACTATGACAATTACATCATTATCTTCATATTAATGAAGGTTGATGAAATGATGATCACATCTTGAATCAATTATCCAGTCATACTTTAAGTTGATAAATATCATAGCTTTAGTAGTTTCAGCCATAAAACATTTGCTCCAATCTTCATTGGTAGCATTGGAACAATCTTCTTTATTTATAATATTTTCTCTTTTAATCTTAATATAATAATTTTTTTTATATGACCTAACTTATAACACTTATAATATTTGATCTTCTTTCAATTTGTATTATTGTTTAAGGAAGACCCTAGCTTATTATTAGCATTATCCTTATTATCTTTATTTTTATTATTATCCTTTTCTTATTCGTAAAAAAGGCATCTCCATCTCCCATTAAAGTAAAAACTCTGATCATTTACCGAGCTAAGGATTCTTGAGAAACAAGAAGATTTTTTAACTTTACTAAAGATAGTTATTGAACTTATCCTTGAATTAATATAATATGAGAAATATTTTTTAATCATAAATAATATAATATTTCATTCGTGCATTAGAAATAGGCTTATTTGAATCTAGGAGTAATATCTCAAAATATAAATTTTTAATCTTCAAAAAATATTAAGAAATTAAGAGATTATCCTAGATAGTATTTGTGAAATTATTCTCCAAATACTGAAGCTAAGCTATATTGTTTTTGTTGAGCAATGTATTAAAATTGATCCAAAGTTTTTAGGTTTATTTGCAACCAATAATGTGTTTAAAAAGATAATGAGAAATAGATCTCTTTAATGCACATTCGCTTTTGCATTTAATGTCCTCCATCTCTTTATGTCATTTTCATTTATAGCATTTAGTATCGTTGTTATATTGTCACCAACCATATCCCATAGATCTTCTCTCTATGAGATAAACTTCAAACAAATCTTACAGGTATTGTAATTTGATTGGTTGAGAAGTTTAACTATAATAATTTATAATTGAAAAAACTTATCTTCTTTACTAAGGAGATCTTAAATACAAATTATCACGCTCGTGACTCTGATACCACATGAAAAAAAGAAAAGATCATATGCAAATGCAATCATTTCTTAAATAGTAATAATAAGATACTGCTAACCTAAGATCAAACTAAATAAAAGAAAAAATTTACGATGAAAAAAAAGAAAAACTGAACTTAAAAAATCTTAAACTATTCTTGAACGTAAACTCTATAGATCTGAGTCCATAAGACTTGAATGGATCTACATATATAAATATAATCTATTTATAGGTGTGAAATATAATTTAAACTAAAAAAAATTATCTTTATAATTTTATTTAATTAATTTATTTAAAAATAAAATAATAATTTAAAATCTTTCAAATGATATACGCAAATCATTCATCTGTGTGAGCACACAAGCACGCGTGCAGGAAACCTGTAACAGGCGGCGTTGGAGTGTTCTCGTACCCTCTCCTAGAAGAAGAAGAAGAAGAAGATGATGATGATGATGACGAGGGCATGGACCAAGCAATTAAAGGGAGATGCAAGTCTTGGGCAACCCGACACCGGTGGTGGTGGCCGTCAGCATCTAAATGTCTTTCTCCTTTGGGTTCGCATTTGTCTCGCGTTGCATTGACCATCAGATCTCATCATGTCGACTGTTGAATGATTAATGGGAGGCACAGAGAGAGAGAGAGAGATCATTAGCTTATTATATACATCACATGAATCAATTATAAATTGTTTGGGAATTACCAACTCAATGAAAATATCATGGTTTCTTCCAGCTGTTATGCATGCAGCTCATAAAACTGACAGAGATACTAGCAATAGTCAAACCATGTAAGATTTCTTGATTCATGCATGAATGTTTCAACCATGTCTGCGATATACCCTGATCGATTCAAAGTCGATGGCCACCTTATTAAATGGACGTGAAGATAAAACCAAGGCAAGACAACTGCAAGACCAAGGCAAGCATGATGGTCAAATTAAAGAGAGAGCGAGAGAGAGAGAGAGAGAGAGAGAGAGAGAGAGAGAGAGAGAGAGAGAGAGAGGAAGAGATTTCTTCTTTGTGTCACTATCAAACCAGAAAATATGTTCCTTTTTCTTTCCGATCGAAATCACCAACAAGAGCGACTTGGATTACTTTTCTTGAGGGCCAAATGATACCACCACAAGAACAGGGATTCGATTCCATTCCCAGGGCCATTGATTTACCTTGGACTGAGCCCGGAGGAGCGGCTCTCAGGTCAATGCGGTCTCTGTCTTAATGACCACGTCTCCTGTCACAGCAACTTCCCTGGAAACTCTTGGCTACTTCCCAAGAACAAAGAAGGAGAATAAAAGGTAGGAAACAGATCTCAAACACCACACCGCACACCATTGTGTTTGTGTTGTGTTCTCTTCCTCTCGGACTCGAACCATGCAGTTCTAAACTCTCTCTCTCTCTCTCTCTCTCTCTCTCTCTCTCTCTCTTCTGCTGCATCACCGATTGATGTTCTGCCGTAGGAGTCTTGTCGATGGAGAACCACCCAATCCAGTCCCCTCATCCCATCGCCCCCCACTCCACCACCAGTAGTAGATGCATCAGCAACGACGATGGAGTAACAGCAGCAGCAGCTCCTCCGACACCGCCTCCACCTCCAAAGTCCACTCCATGCGCCACCACCTTCGTCCAGGCCGACACCTCTTCCTTCAAGCAAGTGGTGCAGCTGCTCACCGGCTCCGCCGAGACCACGGCGAAGCGCTGTGGCGGACTGCCGCCGGCCGCCAAAGCCGTCACCGGCCCCAAGAGGCGGGCTTTCAAGCTGTACGAGCGCCGCAGCAACCTCAAGACGATCGGCCCTCTGAAATCGACCGCGTTCTCGCCTCATAAGCGACCGCCGGAGATCAAGTCGCCGATCGTGTTGGACTTCCCTTCGCTGACTCTCAGCCCCGTCACCCCGCTGACCCCTGATCCCTTCGACCGGCTGCTGCAACCGTATTCCGCTGCGAGGATGTCGGCCGACGCCCGTTCCATCGCCGAGAAGGGGTTCTACTTGCACCCGTCGCCGAGGACCACGCCAAGGGATGCGGAGCCGCCGAGGCTGCTGCCGCTGTTTCCTATCTCCTCGCCGAGAACGTCATCTGCTTCAGCCGCTTGTTCGTCTACCTGATGCTTTTTACTTGCTTCCAGAAGAAATATATCTGCTTCATGCGAAAAACTCGTGCTCTTTCTCTGAATTCTCTCTGATCTTGTCTTCTCTTTGTGATGCTACAAACCAAATTCTGGGAGTATACAGACATCTTTTTCTTCAAGCTCACAGCATGCAGTTCATGTGCATCATTTTTCCTCCTCGATCTGTGTCTTTGTTTCTTCCTCCATGCTGTGTAACCTGTAAAGTTGGCATTGTCTCAGCTACCGTGGTCAGCAAAGTGATGATCGAGGGCTGTACTTGTGCTCACAGCCCATCATCATCCTGCTTTGAGGAAGACAATGATCCTGTCACTCACCCTTTTTGCCATAGCTCAAAGGTCCTCTTCACGTGCAGCATGATACACCCTAATGCATGTCTCAGATTTCAAGCTGAGTTAATTCCATATCAGATAAAAATAATAATTGAGTTAATTCATAGGGTCAGAGTTAATATACTATCATAATTAAAACCAAGAATTGACCATCAACCAATTTGATGGAGACAAAATAAATTATAATTCTTCTTCCAATTGCTGGCTCACATTTGTGTTGGACAAGACGATGACGCACCCAATCTTAACATTCCCAACCACGGTATGCTTGTCGACTTAATTCGATCATAATATTCATGTTTTGGTCAGACAGTTGACTTTCCATCGAACCTGTTTTAAGTATTGCCAATTGGACCCGAACGCCCTTTCGATTCGTGACGTCATCTCGACGTAGGTGGTCCACGGCGGCCCCCCGAACCGTCGTGGCTGTTTTGGAAGGTGGCGGTTTTCGCGGTGCGAGGCCATGAGCACCGTCCATCGTGCTCGAGATTCGGGTATGCACGAACCGTCAAGTGAATCGAACGGCGAAACAGGCGAAGCGGATTGGTGCGCCTCCCTGTTCCGCGCGTTAACCGGAAATAGCCCGGAACCCATCTTGCAGTCACCGGCTGTAACCGGCCGACGTAACAACCACCGCCGCAACGGGAACGTGAATCCTACAGCGACCCCTTTCCGCCTTTCTATTGATTCTAACAATGGGCCCTCCCTCGTGGTCCACCAGTACCGCCAATCAAAAAACGTGTATCGTCGTAAAGTTATATACAATTGACTTCTCTTAATCATCCCTTCATCGAGATAATTACTTCCCTAATCTTTGGTCGGGATAAGTAATACTGTTAGTTCTCGTCCCCTACGCCCGCCTTCCGTCTCCCTCCGTGCAACAAATCTGGCGCTCGAAGACGACGACAAGGGCTGGGATCGGCGATTCAAATCCACGTCTTCATCAAGGGAATTCCATCTCCGAAAAGGCAAGATCATTGGCCTCCTGATCCCTCCCGATCCGTGTCCTTCTTCTTCTTCTTCTTCTTCCCGTTCCGTTCTAGATTTGGGACAGTCGTCTTGGGTTTATTCTGTGAATGACACACTTCTGAGGATTGAAACGGGTGCAATTGTGCTATGCTGGATATAAGTTGGTGTTCGTTCAAGGATTGGAGTAGGTACGTTCGCTGCATGTAGATCTTCCTGTATTTTGGTGAATTTGCGTCTGTACGTTGCAAGACAGTGCGGATTTGGAGGTATTAATTTGTCGCTCTGGGTGGCTCTTCCGGTTCGTTATAGGTTGGACGAGAGGGTTTTCGGAAGGGGAACGGAGATGAGAGGGTGGCAATGACTGGAGGGTCATTGGGTCTACGATCCGGGAGTTATGGATCACTGCAGCCACAGCTGCAGAACGGTGTTGCTGTTTTCCCGACTCAGTTGCCGCCCATCTTGGTCCGTAAGACTTCGAGAATGTCCCTTTCCGGATCAAGAGAAAAGGAGAGGATTTTGCCAAGGATTTTCAAGTTTGCAGGAAGAAGGAAGGTCGGGATGTTGCTCTTGCTCGTTGCCTCAGCGGCAGTGCTGTCATTCATTTCTGTTGTCAGTAAAGGTTTGGCCTTTCTTCCTTGCTTTCATCCTGTATACATTTTTCGGTCATGCATTACGTCAGTTAATTGATCTTCAATCTTATTCTCCATCCTCTGAGTTTGGGTGGCATCATTATATACCAATTTGCAGGACTCTTCTCAAGATCGAGAAATTTCAATGGCTAAACCACATAAAGTTCTTGTTTTCTGCGCATGTCTTATCACTTTTCTTTAGGTATAGGACATCAGTTGCTCTTTCCTATGTATTTGTAGAGGGCGATAGTAGCCAAACTTAGCGATTGTTTTTATGTGCTGATTTGTTAGTGATAGTATATAGTAACCAATGTTGATATTTTCCTTACTTTATGCCCACAGGAATATGGCACAAGCAGCAACTTGACATGCCATCTAGGATGTGCTTACAATGGTTAATGAACCAATTATATCTAATGTTGAAATAGGTTGTTGGGTCAAATTAATCAATTCTGTCAGGTATTTGAATACTTAACTCTGGTTACCATGGAAATGTATGTAAGGTGTACTGTTCATAAAACATAAAGGCTGCTTATTTTAAGAGGGAATCTACTACTAGAAACTCATTATTTGTTATCCTTGGGCAAAGTATGGCATAGTAACAGGTAAAACCAGCAGTTCAGCATTGTTACAAGAAATACCTGTTAAACTGCAGACGGTTATTACCTCAATTTAATGTATTAATTCATTTAAATTAAAATTTTCAACCTTCTTCTTTTCAATTTTTGTACCAGTTATTTGACTCCATTATCATCATAGCTTGTATTAATTTCTTTCATTTCTATATCAGATGAAGATGCATCAGTGAGCCCCGAGTCTCGCATGGGTTTCACTGATCACGTCTGGAAGTTTGTAAATCCTGTTAGACCGTCGCGTAATGATTTCAGCCCTCCCTTTATTCCTGCAAAAGAAACCACGGTGGATAGCACTTCCAATACGAATCATGAATCTGCAACTACCCATAATGTAACACACCTTTCTGTTCCCATTCTTCCTCCAATGCCACATCCTTGCGAAAGTTTCTCGCTTCCTCCTCCGCCAGCTGATAAAAAGCGCACTGGTCCACGTCGTAAGTCTTGAGCTCTTGCTTCGTCGGACGGGCAACATTTTATTCTTTTGGCTCATTTGTAAACTAATTCTCTGCTTGAAAATCTCATTTCTCTCTTTTGTAGCATGTCCTGTTTGTTATGTCCCTGTAGAGCAGGCTGTACTTCTCATGCCACCTTCGCCGTCAGCATCACCTTTTCTTAAGAATTTAAGTTATTTTTCAGAAGATAACTTGATTGCCAGTGAGTCAAATGGAGGTTCTGTCTTTGGAGGATATCCATCTCTGCTTCAGAGGAACGAATCTTTCAATATAAAAGAATCAATGATGGTGCACTGTGGGTATGGTTCACTCTTCCTGTCAGTTCATTTTTCTCAAAACACTTTTTGCCAGTTTATTTTCTCATTAAGTGAACTATGCTTAAATTTTTTAGGCTGAATTTTTTTTTATTGTTGACTCTTCTTTTGCTTTTGTCTGTGTGGATTGAAGATACCTAACTGTTTTCATTGTCTAAGCTCATGTTAACCGTCATTCATCAGATTTGCCAAAGGAAAGAAACCTGGTCGAGAGACTGGATTTGACATAAATGAAACTGATCTTCTTGAAATGGAGGAATGCCACGATGTCGTCGTAGCCTCTGCCATTTTTGGTACTATGTGCAGTATTTCTCTATTATTGTTGTCAGTTTTGTCCACCTTTGACCATTGCACCTCCTGGCCCATTTAGATAAATTTGCTCATGTTCATTTGGTTGATCAGGAAAATATGATGTAATGCAACAACCGAAGAATATTAGTGAATATGCAAAAAGGAATGCATGCTTTTACATGTTTGTTGATGAAGAAACTGAATTGTACATAAAGAACTCCAGTGGCCTGGTTGATACCAAAAGAGTTGGTCTATGGATAGTGGTGGTAGTTCGAAACCTTCCTTTTGTAGATGCAAGGCGAAATGGGAAGGTAAATTTTTTCTCTTGCACTATTATTGTAAGTTTAAGTTGCAGTTAGCATTGTCTAACATTTGAAGGTATTATGATTTTCATCAGAAAGCAGATTCATTTGAGTTTTGTTGATTTATTGATCAAAGTTGGTGTACTTTCTCTTTCTGATACTGTTGAGGATATTCTAGTTACATAATGTGAGGAATTAAATGTAAATACTGACTGACAGGTATTGGTTTTTCTTGAATTGCCTATATTTTACCCCACAGATTGATGAACTTGTACTGGTCCTTGTTACAAGTTCTTTGAATTGCATTCAGTGTATTGAAATTATTTATACTAATGTCTGGCCTTCCAGATTATATGACCGGTAAGATAAGCAGCTATCAGCGGTAGTATGTAAAAGTTTTTGGAGTCCAGTAACTGAATCTTTGTTTAATATCAGTTGATTACTTTTATTAATTTTCTACAAGGAAACTCATTGGCATTAATAACAACAATGGCAACAAGATATATGACTAAGAGAATCAAAATTCAACATGAAAGCTATGCTAACTTACAAGATATTCAGGAAATTTGGCTTATAGGTATATTATTAAGTAATATAAATCATCCAAGAGCAAGTTGTAGCATTTGGCAACATCTTTAGTTCATCAACTAGCCATTGATGTTTTACGTGTTACACATGTATCAAGCCTACATTAGTTCAATATATTATTTGTATTTGTTGAGGGTGAACCTTAGTACATTAGTAAGGTTGCTCATTTGCAACTTGGGAGATGAGGTTCGAGTCATAAAAATAGTCTCTCTATAGTTAAGGGGAAGGTTGCATATATTGACCTTTCCCATACCTTGCATTGGCAGGACAGCGTTGGATATTATCTGTATTTGTTCCTAAAGTTTGCTACCAGTAAATGTCTAGATATGCATATGAATATATGTTTGTTTCTATCTGTACCTAAATACCCGAATATCTAGATGTATGTAGAAGTGTTCTATTTTCCCATACTAGTTGGACAAAGTGTGCTATTTAGTTCTTTTTAACTATATTTTGTTCTTGTTTGTTAATTTTCTCCTTTTTCGCCTTTCACATCTGCTTTAAATTCTTTTAATCCAAGAAATATCTATATCTCGGCCTGCTCTCATTTTACTTGCCTCATGGATATTCACACACCATATTGGTATTTGTAATTTTGTATATCTAGGAACTTGTATTGAAAGAAGATTGAATGATCACTTCTTGAA